AGATCTGGCCACCTCCAAAAATCTCCTCCTATGAGTGCTTTGGGGGAACATGCAGATATTATCTATATAAAGTGTTATAATCTGTTCCTGTTCTCTGAAAAAAAAATTGTGTCTCATTTCTTTTTCTAATGTTTGATAGAATTTATGACTAGATATCTCTTCTAGAATTTTCTTTATTAAGGAAATTTTTTAGCTAGTTATTAGACATTTTTTATTTCTTGTATCATTCTTGATAATTTTTCCATAGGAATTTATCTTATTTCATCTGAAATGTCAGACATAATTGGCTTAAACTTTTTCATAATACTCCCTTATGATCTTTTTACTTTGCAATAATAAGAGAACAGTTACAGGAGTAGAGCACATAACTTTTCCTAAATCACCTGAGAGTAGGTTTAACCATGATGTCCACTACCATATGCCCTGTTTTTAATATGATCTTGGGTATGGATCTGAGTTTCTTTTCAAATGGATATTGGTATTAGTCAATGTTTACAAGAATTTGCAAGGCTGGGGCAAGGCTCCTCAAAAGACTGCACATGTTCTGAATCAGATTTAATGCAGGACACAGAAATTTACATGAATGGCCTATAATGGCTGCCCACAGAGTCAAATGTAGAAGAGTGCAAAAGACCTGTCCACTCTCTAGAGATCTGAAGGATCCAGCAGAAGTCCTGGAGCCCACAGTAGTGACCCCTGTGAGTCTACATCAAGAGGCCAAAAGACCTAGGACAGAAGTCCCAGCAGAGGATGTCCAAAGGCTGGCGCTGGAAGCTGAAGAATTTGTGCTAAAAGCCAGGAGACAACACCCAAGGTGAAGGGGAAGGGGAAGACCAGGGCCCCTCCGAAGAGAACAGCCTAATTGAGGAAAGTCAACCCCAGTGAAGCTCTTGTAAGGAAAATGCACTGAAATCCTTCTCTACCATTTTCTTTGTACAGATAACAAACTTCCCAGAATCATGCAGACAGTTCAGCTGGGTGTTCCCACTCAAGTTGGCAATTAGTCAATTAACCACCAAGTATTTTAGCACTGTTTTTAAAAAGACCATCCTTTGTCTAAATATCTTGGAATCTCTGTCAAAACAGTTGTCCATGTATGTATACTTTTATTTCTAGACCATATTCCATGTGATCTATTTGCCCATTTTTATGCTAGTATCACTCCATTTTGTCACAGCTCTCTAAGTCTGGAAGTCAAGGAGTGTTAGCTTTCCAACTTGTTATTTTTCATAGTTGTCTGGGCTCTTCCAAGTCCTTTGCATTTCCTTATGGATTCGCTTGTTTGTCCACATATATGCGCATTCACACAGTCTGCTGGGATTTTTGAGATTTAGTTGATTCTACAAATCTATTTGGAGAGAATTGACATCTTAATAATATTGAATCTTCTGACCCATGAAACAAGATATATCTCTCTATTGTTTTAAATATTTGATTTTTGTAGCCATATTTTTAAAGTTTTCTGCATATAGATTTTTTTTTTTCTTTCCTTTTTTTGAGGCAGGGTTTTGCCATGTAGCCAGGGCTGACTTTGAACTTCTAAACCTGTCTCAGCCTCCCAAGTGCTGGGACTACAGGCATAGTACAGATGTTAAATGCTGTGTGTGTATGAAATTGTGGAGTGCTGAATACTTTCGATGCTATTGTAAATGGAATTTTCCACAGTTTAATTTCATTTTAATTTTAGTTTCATTACATTGCTTATTGTTAGTGTATAGAAGTGGAACTGATTTATATATGTTGAGTTTGTGTTTATCAGCCTTGTTAAACTCATTTATGAGTTCTAGTTGCTTTTGTAGAGATTGTTAGGATGCATCTAAAATGTTTGACTGAAAGTGTCTAAAGTTGTAGGACACATACAAGACCAATCTCTTTTTCAAACATACGTCTGTTTGATCTAGATTACCCCTATTACGAAGGAATAGCTTTTCCGGGTCTCTATTGATAATATTGTTCAGCGAAATTTCTTCATTCTACATGGTTGAAATTCACACCTCCCCCACCTTTAAAAGAGCTTTGGTAAAAGATTGTTCATGGTGTGTACACTCACTCTATGTATATGCCCCTTACAATTAGATCTCAGGAAACCCCTATAAGCATCTCTGTCTGTGTAACTTCCTCCAAATCTCTCTGTATCTGCTCTCTAAATCCTGATCTCTGTTCAGTGAGATCATTTTGCTTTGTTTGGAATTTCCCTTTCTCTCCCACTGGTAAGAAAGCAATTACCTTCTTTGTTTCCCTTTTCTCTTCCCTTGCTACCTCTTATCCAATGTCTAAAAGCCATTGTTCAGTGTATTTTGCAATTTAACAGCCACTTATGGTGGCTGAACTTCTCCAGTCATAGTTACTGTATTGTAGATACCTGCTGTGTCTTACTCCATCATTCTGTTTTTATCTCCATAGTTCAGTTGAGCACCAATGATTATTGTAAGTTCACTGGAAGAATCAATGAATTATAAGCAAATAATGATGTGTAATATGACCTTAAAAATATTATTTGTATGAGAATAGCTTTCAAATTAATTTCAGATGAATGCTGTGATACCGCTGTCTTATTAGTTCACTAAACAAAGCATAATTATCCAGGTCCTACAACATTTGTGACATACCTATCTTCTTTTACTAAATATACTTCTTTTGCCTAGTTACAGGTTTTTCTTGCTTTGGAAGTTTTATGCTGCATTTCTTTTTAACTGCTTTGGTGGTAGAGACATTATTCTTATAGACAGTTATTATTTGGATTGGTCCAGTATCACATTGTAGCTATAGCTAGTATGCCTCACTACATACTCACGTATCACAAGCTCAGCTTTTGTTCTAAAACAACTTGCTATGTAGGCTTTCTTTCTGGCAATTCAAACAGATGAATGATGGTGTAGGTGACTTTTAAATGCCCTTCAACCTTGCGATTCTATTATTCTTTAGCAAATTAAATTTCAGCAAGAATGTCTTGAGTGCCATCCTAATAGTGTGCGTTATCTAAGAAGAAAAACTGTCTTTGCCTTTGAGAAACTCAGAATTTCACTGGTGAGATAATGCCTTTAAATATTAAAAAAAAATGTGTCTGATTAATTGCAGGATGAACGGCACATATCTTAAGTGCCTGAGATGTAAGGTCAGAAAGAGACAGCTTGCAGGAGTAGAATGAGAAAGAACACATCATCCTGTGAGAGGGGCTGTCAGTGGAGGAGAAGCCCTAAGGCAGGACAAAGGGCCGCACATTTGCAGGAGTGTCAATAAGGAGAGCAACCCAGCAGAAGAAAGTGTTTGGTCTTGTTTTAAAAATAAGAGGCTGAGTTATGAAGAACTGCAATTTTGTCAGCAGTGACATTTCTGTCAGCAAGTGCCAGCATGGTGGCAGCATTGGCCACCTAGATTTAAAGATTTCAGATTTGCATGGCTGAGGGGCCACTTTGCATGTTAAGGTTGCGGTGGAGTAAAATATTTTCATGGAACAGTCTTCATCTATATAATGATACACACCTGTTTTGAGAAACGATGAGCAAACTGCCACGAGAGCTTTGTGATTCGACAGTTGGTAGATGCTGAAGAAATTCTTTTGAGTCCTGTAGCTTTTTACTGTCTAGGTCTAATCGATTGTAGTCTTTTGTTTGTGTTTAGCTTTTAAGAATCAAGGTCACATTAAAGTTAGGTCTGCCTCGCTGTGTTGATACTGAAATCTGGACACAGTGCTCCTTGATGTCCTTTAATCTTTAGTTTGTGTTAGAACAATCATTCAAAATGTACCAATTAATTTTTGTTTAATATTGTTTAAGCAAAAACAAATAGACATATACTAGAAAGAAGGTACTGCAAAATCATAAAAGCAATGTTATTTCTTTGCATTGACTGCGGCCTAAACAAATTATGGACTGTTTCTAAGGTTTAGTTTATTATTGAATATGAAATATGCATAAAGTCTCATCTGTTAGTATGAAAACCCCACACACGGAATTTGCATGTCATAGTCTTGTTTTTAAAATTGTGGAACTATAATACTGCATCATTTTGTTTGAAAGAGTACCAAACAGGATGAAAACATGACTAACAGATACTAAAAGCTTTATGTATTAGTCTTGATTCAAATTTTCTAAAATCACTGTTTAAAAAATGCTTATGTGGACCGGGGATATAGCTCAGTGGCACAAGCACCTGCCTGGCAAGTGCAAGTTCCTGAGTTCAATTCTCGGCATCAAAAAAAAGTAAATAAATAAAAAATGTTTATGTATATTCTTTTTTTTTTTTTTGGTTTTTCTCTCCGGTACCGGAACCGAACTCACGACCTTGCGCCTGCCAGGCAGGCGCTTTGCCGCTGAGCTAAATCCCCAGCCCCTGTATGTTCTTTTTCGACAATGGTTTTATTTTTGTGGCTGACTGAGCGTGTTCATTTAAAGAAGAGCAGCGGAGAAGGAATACGGGAGACGGATAAGTATAGCTTAGAGATAAAGTTGAATGTGAGTGTGTAAAATTTATGCTATAAAATAGAATAGTTTTGAAGTCTATCAGGTAAAACATAAAATGTGGATAATACTTAATAATCTTCAGTATCACAATGAATTATTTATAATATTTGATGCCTAGAGAAACTGAGAAAAGAATTTATGGATATTATTTTTCTGCCTCATTTCTGGTCACCCATCATTCACTGCAAGACCATTTCTTTAGCTAATGTGGCATTTTCTTCAGGTCTTCTAAAGGCCATGGAACCCACTAAATGCGTATGTGATGATTGAATCATTATTACTGGAGGAAAAAATTAAAGCAAAGGAAATTTAGTCTTAATAAAATAATGATATAAGATTTTTCTTTCTCTTTTCTAGTTAATATATTTTATTCTTCTCAGTAAAGTAGGATTTGGCCTGTAGGACATACACTGTAATATATGCTTTGTTGGAAAAAAAAGTTTTTAAATGAATGTTTAAAACTATTGCTGCTGTAAAAAATAGCACATGTACTTCTGTGGTTGTTTTACTTTGTTTTGTTGTTGTTCATTTTGGCAGATAAGATAACACAAGAGGACATTGAAGGCATTCTACAGAAATTTACGGGGAATATAATGCAGATACCCCCCCTGTAAGTTCAAATACTGAATTTGAGTAAATGTTTAGTTTTCTTTACTACTGGTTAAAATCATCATAATTAAAGTAAAACAGACTTCCTTTTGCTATATGTTGAGGCAGGTTTTAAATCTGACAGAGTGAATGATCAAATAAAAGTGAGCCTGATTTTGATTGCGTGTAAAGCTTCTGACCCTAAGAGGCAGTAGAATGCAGTCTCCTCTGTTCCGGGTGTTACCACAGCTGGGATTTGTGCTAATCAGGTTTTTTTTTTTTTACAGCTTTTCTGGTTCTATCTACAGATACCAAGCTGTTTGGGAATTCAGAAACAGCACTTTTCCCAAAATTGCTATGATGGGACCAAGTGAGGGCATTGGAGTTGTGATTCAGAGTCCTAACTGCACTGCTGTCAGGCACGCTCCTTTTGCACCCAGAATCTTTCTTCATACAAAATGCAGCCTCTGAGAGTTATAAAATACTAAAAACATGCATATGGGTTCATTTGGGTTATTGTAACAAAATACAGTAAACTGGGTAGCTTATAGGTAGCAGAATTTTAATTCTTACAGTTTTGTGGGCTGAGAGGTCCAAGAAAGGTACTGGCAGATTCAATTTCTGGTCAGGCACTCATAGATGGTGCCTTTTCACTGTGTCTTCATACATTGGAAGGGGCAAGGCTCTTTTATGAGGGCACAAATACCTGCTCTGGACCTAACGACCTTCCCAAACGCCCTACCTCCTTAACCATCATCTTGGTACATAGTTCAATGTGTGAATTCAGAGGGTGACACAAATATTCTATACATAGCACTGCTTAACCATACATGTATGTACATTAACACTACAGGCAAATCACTTTTTTTAAAATAGTGAAATGGCTATAGAATGTGTTAAAATAAGTTCAGAATTTAGTATTTACTTTGTTTTTAAATGTTTGTTAGTTTGTTTCTGAGAACATTGAACTATTTGTGAAGAAGTGTTTCTTCATGATTTTTCTCAAAAGCCAAACTTTAAAAATTTTGGGAAGACTGGCATAAACACTATTCTAGACTGTTAATTTAAATTAAACTTATTTACATTTATTTATGAGGCCCAGTTTAGATGTTCTTTTTTTGTGACTATCCAAAAATTTTGTGATCTAATAAAATTTTATCACACAAAGCTAAAATTTAGTAAGAATATTATTTGCTTCTTAGTGTTTTAGAAACACTTTGATCACTTTTATATGAAAATAAATTCTTTATAATAGAAATTATTTCAAGGAAATTTACCTGAGATTATTAGGACCAGAGGCTACAACTAAATTCCTTGTGCCTCAACATAGAATGAGAACTAGTGAAGACAAAAAATGGATAGCCATCTCTGGGAAGATGATTAAAGAATAAAATTGACAACCTTGCTTATTGAGGCCAGAATGGCCTTCTTTAGCCTCAGAAATATTTAGGAACTTTATCCTTAATAACACTGTGTGGTAGATTGGCGGGGCGGGGGGTCACAATGACTAGTTCATTTTTAAGCAGGGATTTCAATTTGGAGGACTGCTTGTTACCCTTTCTTTTATGCTGTCATCTGGAATTATTATTTCTCATTCTCTCTGTTTCCCCCAAATCTTCCTCTCTCATTCTGTCCCTTTTGTTTTGCAAGCTATTCTGCTTTAAAGAAAGATGGGCAGAGACTTTCAACTTTGATGAAGAGAGGTGAAGTAGTACAAGCCAAACCTGCCAGGCCGGTTACTGTGTACAGCATCTCCCTTAAAAAATTCCAGCCGCCGTTTTTCACATTAGGTGAGATGGAGAAATTTGAAATCATCCATACTTACGTGTACTTTTATTTCGTCATTGGCTAATGTTGTGTAATTTTAATGGATCCCTACCACAGTGGAGATTTTTTCAAAAAGAAAAGGTATGATTTGGTAACATATTTAATAAGATACCTAAAGCTACATGGAGGTTTACATGGCCTTTATAACCGCTCTCAGTTTTTCGTATATTGTGTACCATCTTACTATAAAACTGGAAGTAATATGCCTTAGACCTCTAGGAAGAATAGGTAAACAGTATAGATTTTTCAAGAAGCATTTTTCGTTTTTTGGACAAAAGTATCTATAGATGAACTGAATTTCCCCCCCTTCTTTGTTACCTGCAAGTTATTATTAAAAATTCCAAAAATAGTAAGGCAGAAATGTATTGTTGGGTACACGGTCACATTTTAATTTAGGTTATCAATCTGACTATAATCCATATTTGAAATAAATTGAAAAATCAAAATGCTCATTTTGATTGTTTAGAAATTTTCTGTTCTTCCTGGCAGTAGAAAGTTGTAGATGAAGCCTTGAACATAGTAACAGTGAAGAATCAAAAGCTGTTGTTCTTAAATCATAGGCTCCTTAAAATTGACCCTACCCTTAATTTTATGATGCATATTGAATAGGATTTCTTTTAGAATTACTTTCCCAGTACCTTTATTCCTAAACTTTGTAGGTTTTTTCCCTCTTATTGGCATTATATCTTTTGATGTGGTTTAAATTTCTTCAGAATGTGGTTTTCTACAATTAGAAGAAGACTCTCTGCCTTTTCTTAAGTTACTGATTCTAAGCTATTGGACAGATAATGAAAAAACACATTGAAAAATGTTTCTTTCCATGAAAGCGTAACAGCTGGTTTGGAAACATAGATTTTATCTACCAAAGTAAGAAAAACTCTTAAATTCTCTGACTCCATTTCAGTCATAAATATTTTGTTGTCTAGAGAGCCCAGTGGCCCAAAAGAGCTGTCTAGCAATGTCAAATATAATGCAAGAGTGTTAGCATACCTACATTTGATCTTAGTACTGCTCTATCTTAGCAGTGGCCCCTAACTGTGAGCTGATGAAAAAAAGAATTAAAATCCCCAGGTGGTGAGTTTTGATTAATTCCCCCAAATGGCTTTCCAGTATTTCCTAAGACTAGAAACAGCTAGACTGTAGCCCTTTTGTGTGGAAATGGAGCCGGCTCTTTTCAGGATGTCTTGTTGATAAAAACGTGAAACGGGGCTGTGTTTTCAACCAAGAAAGTTTTATACTTCTGTGTTAAGATGTTTTGATGTTCAGTCAATTCTGGGATATTGTGTAACTATTGTATAATTTCACTTCATTTTTTTTCAGGCATTTTCTAAGAACATTTAAATATGCTGAGCTCTCTCTGTCTCTAGTATAGTATCTCAAACATAATTTCTGTTACTGTAATAGGTTTTTGACTGTACAGATCTGAAAGTATTTTAAAAACCAACAGCTCCTGGTAACAAAGCTCAGATTTTTAACCATTTAAACTCTAATAAGTGAACAAGGTGTACATATCTGAAAATAGTTTTTAACATCTGGAGCAAAACTGAGATTTCTAACTACTTAAAACCTATTAAATAAATAAGGCTGAAATATTAAAGCGTATGACTTGCCAGTTAATTTAAAATGTGTTCGTGAATTTCTGCTGTTTGCTTTTTCCATGCTGACTTTTCAATCTCACAAACACATATGCTACTGCATGAATAATTTATGTTTCAGCACATAAATATTTTATCACTCAATTGTTTGCATAGTGCATTTTTACATTTGTTTAGGGGCATCATTTCTATGTAAAGTAGATTTCAGAGGAGGTTAGCAATTTACCATGTCACTGTTAACATTCCAGATGTTGAATGTGGAGGAGGTTTTTATATCAGAAGCTTGGTCAGTGACATTGGCAAAGGTAAGCAGAAAAAATGAATTATGAATTATCACTTAGAGAGTAATAGTCCTTTTTTATGGGAAGAGAGAATTTTCTGGTCTTCATATTTCTGAGTGCTGGCCCGAGGAGCTGAACTCTTGCTGTCTGCAGCTTGGGAAGCATTGTTTTATGGCGCGCAATCATCGGTCCAGCAGCTGTAAGAGACTGGTAGTGGGAGAGAAGAGGGATAATGGGTTAAGAGCCACCTCTTTCGAGTGCAAAACATGTTAACTTAAAGTGGTGTCAGAGAGAAAGATCTAGTCTTCTAAAAGTTATTTTCTTCGCTGCAAATCAAAAATTTTAGAAACTGGTATTGCAAATAGCGTTGCAAATAGCCGGAATGTTGTGGTTCTGGCCCTGCTATTTCCTGGCAATCATGACAGTCACGGCAATCATATTATCTCTTTTGCAAAGTAAGGGTACGGTTTTTACCTCGCGGGGTTGCTTTGTGAGTTAAATAAGAAAAATGTGTGCAAGTTCTTTGTAAACTTTCAAGCAGTTTGTAATTTTTTAAATGTTATTTTGCTACATTTTATCTCAAGGTTCTTGGTTTTTGCATTATTTACAGTTAATTACATTATTTCAGTAGTGTTTGGTTTTAAGAGGATTGAGTCAAGTTCTGTCATTTCCAAAATTATATACTGTAAAGTTTATCTTCTGTATTTTTCATCTTTTGTTGCCGTAGAGCTCTCTTCCTGTGCCAATGTGCTAGAACTGACCCGAACAAAACAGGGGCCATTCACGCTGGAAGAACATGCCCTTCCTGAAGACAAGTGGACCATCGATGGCATTGCACAGTCTCTGGAGCACTGCTCATCTCTTTTCCCAGCTGAGCTGGCACTTAAAAAATCAAAACCTGAGGAGTCAGATGAGCAGGCTTTGAGCTGTGAATACGTAACTCTAAATGAGACAAAGGAAGAAGGTGATGTAATTAAGACATTTGGAGATCAGTCTGGGGGATCATCATTTCCTGGCTGACGTTTGAGCGAATACCGTGTACAGATACAGAATGATAAGCTATATGCAAGAGACAAATCAATACTCTTTTTGTATGAAGAAAACAAAACATCCTTTACAGTTTCTATAGCATACAATTTATTTACTACACATTGTGTATGGCCTTACAGTTGTTCAGTTCTTTGCTGTGCTGTGGATTGTTCTTCAAAGATGTTTTTATCTTGTTAGAATATGAATTTGATTAGATTCAGGAAAATTAACTTTGAATTTGAACTTGCTTCAGTCATTTCCTGTGAAAAAGTTGAACAAATTTTCTAATGAAAGAAAAATATAAGGTACATGTTTTCTTCAGTTTCACAAAAGTAATTATAATTTAGTATTACTTTTATTTAGGCCTTTAGCCCATTGTTTTGAAATTCTTTGACTATGAAATAGCCATTATTGAATTCTTTCTTGTGTTTTGGAGTTTATTAGTACTAAAGCATTTTGCTGATAAGACTGCACCTCATCTAGGAATGGCTACATTTAGATGTTGGAGATGAATAAAGTTTCTAATAAGTATTTTTAAATGAACCAGATTATCCTGCTACCACTAGCAGGATGTGAGTAGCTGGATGAAAGTCATTGATTAATTAATTTCATCTCTGTTTTACCATTAGAACAGAAGACAGCTCCTTAGCATTGTATTTTGGCAGCTATGAGATATTTTCTTGGTGATTATATTGACATAGTAAACTACTTTGTACCAAATTACTAAGTAACATAATTTTTAAAATTTAAACTAAAGAATATATCTTAAATTTTTCTTTTCTTTGTTTTTTAGCATTTATTTATATCTCTTTATGGAGCATTAATCTGTGTGACATTGTTTGTTTGTTCTTTCAAGTGATATTTATAGACATGGAGATAGCTACTTCGAATTTCCAGCTAATTTCTTCTGCTCTAAATATTTAAAAACAGTGACTCTCAAGTGTTTCATTCAAATAGCTTCAGAAAGTTTCCTGCTCCTCTTTACCATAATTTTGAAAATGTAGTCAGATTACAAAATAGCAAATTTCATGTAATAAAATTTTCATATTTTAGTTATGGGAATGTAATATATTATGCAGCTATACTGTAGAAAACTCAAATCCCTCTTCATTTACTCAAATGTAATTTCAAAAGGAAGACTCATTTAAAATTTCATGAAATAAAAAGTTTCTAGATTTCTATGAATTGCCTTTTTTTAAGGTGGTTGCTTACAATCTCAAAAATTATAAAATATGTAAGCCACAGTGGTTTTATTTATGCTTAATCTAATATAAACTTAATATAAAAGATGTTTCAGTAGAGCATTTTCAGCATATTGACAGTATATTGTATTTTTTTTTTTGGTTTTTTTTTCTGGTACCAGGAATCGAACTCATGACCTTGCACTTGCCATGCAGGCACTGCCACTGAGCTAAATCCCCAACCCTGACAATATATTGTAAATGAAAATATTAAAGCTAATTCTTAGGATGAAATAGAAAATGAGAAAAGAATTGATATTATGATATATTAATATAACATGCCAAGCATAAATTTATAAGTTGAAAGTTTATACTATTATATATTCAGTTAGTGTCCTGCATTTTCTGTCAACCAAAGGTAACAGTGGCTATCTGTGCCTATTGGAATGGCACAGATTGAGGTATGTCTTCATTCATTACTAATTAAAGTTCAAACAGAGAAGTATTTAGGTTTTAGAATACAAATGAAGAACTTCTGTGTCATGTCCAGCACAGGTTTTGAAATTTTTGGAGTGACAGGTGGTGGAGGATGAAGAAGTAAAGACGAGTTAGAAAACAGCTGAGGTCAGGTGGAGCCCTCTCTCCGGATGGGAGAAAAGGGACTGCTCAATTACTGCAGTGCATTTGTTTATATGCTTGGCAGGTTGATGTCACGTGACACCCTTCTGCCTAGCAACCTGTTTGCTTGGATAACCTCCGGCTCTTGGTAGTTTTGGAGCTAGAACAGCTTATTTATATGGCTTGCCTCTGGCCCTCTTTGTTTTTGGGATGGGCCTTGTTCCAGCCTGCATGTAGGATGGAGGATGGATCTCCAACTTTAGCTGCTCCCCATACTTCTGCCCTTTTCTCAATTTAAAAATTAATAGATCTAGGGCCTGGGATGTAGCTCAGGGGCACAAAGCCTGCCTGGCAAGTGCAAGATCCTGAATTCAATTTCTGGTACCAAAAATAAAGTAATTGATAGGGTGAATTTGTTAACAGGGAAGAGTAGAGATTATTTGCAAAGGCAAGTAAATGAAAATTTACTGGTAATCTTCATCATGTTAATGCACTAACTGTAGAATTTTAATTTTATATTGTTAGTTTTCCTGTTTTATTGTTCAAAAAATTATCTTAAGGCATCTACTTTTTTACATTTGATATTGTCTTAACTGTTTATAGTTTTGATAATTATTTTCTGCATATTACTTCACTTATTTATTTAAACCATTTTTCTACTACTGCATACTTGCGTGGCTTTCAGTTTGATTAGGATAAATTCTTTGAGTGGGATGAAGTGAAATTGTATGAACAGTTGTATGGTTTATGTTTGCCTTATTGCATTCCCAAAGAGTTGTAACATTTTTACAGTGTTGTCATTGTATAGGGATTTTATATGCTGTTGCTAATTAAGTGTAAGGCAAATCAAAGTTTGTCTAATTCATTTTTGTGTCATTTGTCTGTATACTATTCTCATTTATATACATAAATGTCATAATTGCTTTTTATATTTGTATATTCTATTTATGCAGTGAATACTTGATAGAAATATTTTTCATGACTTTTAAAAGTTTTAAGTTTTTCATTTTTGCTATTTATATTTGCTTATTTTTAAATTCTTTTTATTGTCAAATGTGTTAGTATGAATAGTTAAAATTTATTGCAACTTTAAAGTATTCTGTTTTCTAATATTATTTTCATTCATTCATTATATTCATTCATTCATTCAATCAATCAATATCTTTGGAGTGTGTATTTCTCCCATATAATTCTAGGTACCAAAGATACAACAATAAACTAGTAGATCATAAACAAGTAAACAAATAAATATATACTAGATGGGGTGATAAAGATGCTTAGAAGAAAAATAAAGAAGAATAAAGAGCAGAGAGTGCTGAGGTTGGCTGAATGGGACCTGTTTTAAAACATGTGATCAAGGAAGGGCTTTCTGATGTAGCAATGCAACTTTAAAATATTCTCAACTCTTACAAGAGCTGAAACTCACTCATCCATAGGACAAATTAGTTTCTCACAAGAGTCTGGTATTTGTCAGCATTTTTAAATCAAATTATTAAGGAACTATCTGTGCCTTACATATTTTAGACTTAAATTTTCATGACATAATAGTTTTACTTACAAGCAAAAGATAAATGAGAAATTCCTGAAAATGTTTCAACCTAGGACATACCAAATCATATCATTTTGGGGGCTGGGGATTTAGCTCAGTGGCACAGTGCCTGCCTGGCAAGCGTGACGTCATGAGTTCGATTCCTGGTACCAGAAAAACAAAAACAAAAACCAAATCATATCATTTTGATATTTTAAGTCTTTTATATTTCTGAGGAAGTACTGCCTTAACCTAAAAGTTGTCAAAAGTGACCATAAAATTATTTTATTTATGGTCTTACAATGCAAGAGCATTAAAATTATAGAAAAATGCCCTCCACAAATTCAAAATTACAAACTGTGAACAAAGGCTAACTTTACATTTCCCTATACTTACTAGATCTTTTCTTCTTACGTACTTACTGCGAGCCTCTGACTTACCATCAGAAATTATTCATAAAAGACTGCTGTATATGACATCTTCAGTACATTTTATGGCCCCCTGACCAGTTTGAAATCTATATCAGACTTAGAATAGGCAGTTCGAGGTTCAGTTAGATGTGAATTGTTCTGTTTCAAAGGAGGAAAGTAATTTATACCATGATGTCTATAATAGGAAAAATGTGATTCAAAAGCACTTTAAAATGCTGAATACGAATACATTAATAATTTATTGATCTATTTATAATATTTACTAAATTATTTATTAAATATAGGGGAGAATAATGGGTATGAAGTTTAGGTACTGAAATGATTATAGTGACCTAAACTTTAGATAGAAAGATTGTCTTTGAAACGCTTTTTTTAAGGTATGTGTGGGCAGCTCTAGTTCGCTCTAGTCATTCATTAAATACCATTTGTTAACAACTTATTCAGGGCACTGGAATCAGCAGTGCTTTCATTTGTCAACTTTCACATTAAATTCCATGAACAGGATACGCTCAGATTGTTCTTGTTATGGTGGTACCAAATTCTTTTGCTCTTTTCATCCATTACTCTTAAAATACAGCATATTAGGATAGTTTCTATCTCTATCATTAATCAGCTCTTTGATCCTAGATAAATCACTTAATCTTTTGGAGCCTCACTTTTTTCATCTTTAAAACAGAGGAGACAGACTAGTTTGCGTCAAAGAACCTTTCCAGCAGTCAGATGCTATTCCAAATGCAGTGATTTATATTTATTCTGCTCAAGAACTCATTCCTCATGAACCCAAATTCTTTATTCAGTTCTGAAAAATTCACATCCTTTGTTCATTTGTATAGCATATCTTTTCTAGCTAGTAGTCTTATTTATATGTTATCTCCACATTTTATGCTGTGTGTCTGATTACTTTTTCATATTGTCCACCTTTTTATATCTCCATACTGCATCCTGAGGAGTTTCCTCAAAACTTTTTTCTGAATAAAGAATTCTTTCTGCCAATTTCATTTGCTATTTAACAGTCACACATTTATTTTAATGACTTTTGTTTTTATTTCTGCTTCTGTGTGCATTGTATTATCCTTTCATTAGGGTTTTAGTAAACACATTTAAAGAGTTTTTGCTGATGATTAATATACACACAGAAAATTGCTCATTTCATAAATGTATAGCTTGATAAATTTTCACAACAAAAATGTGTATAACTACTGAAACACCTGCGGAAGATATCAGTCTTCCACCTGGCAACACTGCACATGGGTGAAAAATAAAGACAAGGGGAATATCCTGGAGATGAGGAGCTCTCCAGTGCTCTCTGTGGAACAAAGGGCCACAAGTCCAAGAGCTCGCAGCATTTATTGGTATCAATCAGGCAGGTGGGTGGGGGTTGAGGCAGAGTACCAGGGAAAAAGAAACTTTGCAGGCCTTGGCTGTAAGGAGGAACAGCACTTTTGCAGCAGGCACAGAGGCCCTCCAATTAGCAGTGCAACAGTTACCTTGATGCGTGCAAGGCTGGCTCTTTACTTTTACTGCCAGGAAGTTACAATTTGTTTTGACTCCCGTGGCCTCAGCCGAGATGTCATCTCATGTCTTAGCCCTGGAATCTCACAGGCTCTTACTGGAGCCAAAGGTAACATAGATGAACAATTTTGCCTGCTTTATGCTTTATAGAAATATACAATCTATATTCTTTTATGCCTGGCTTCTTCAACTCAAAGTTATATCTATGAGGTGCTTTCATTTTGTTGTTGTCTTATAGCTCAGGCTTCTATAACAAAGACTGATTGGCTTAATCATCAGACATTTATTCTCAGAATTCTCATGATTGCAGAGTCCAAGATCAAGGTGCTGGTGTGGTTAGGTTCTTTGGTGAAGGCTTATAGATACTCACCTCACTGTCTTCACACAGAAAAGGAACCTCTGCTGTTCCTCAATTCTTAACAGGCACACTGATCCCATCGTGGAAGTTGCAGCCTCATGACTTCATCCAAACTTAGTTTTTCCCACCCCCTACCTCAACACATATTGGGGGCTGTGGCTTCAACATATGAATTTTAGGAGGACACAAAAATTCAGTTCATAACGGCTGCCTACGGTCATAGGCTTCTCATTCTCCTTGTTTAATATGGCACTGCATTCAGTGTCTTACTTAGGGTTCTGTAGTGGAACAGAATTAATAGAAAATTATGTAATTAGGCAAGGGGATTTTTTAGGTAGATTTACAGGATTAGAGGCAGGAGAATCCACAGTGGCCTTCTGCATGCTGGTGAGCTGGGGGGTCCCCTAGCTGCTCAACCTGGGCAAATGGAAACCCCAGAACTGCGGCTCCAGTCCAAGGTTGAAGGTCTGCAAGCTCCAGTCCAAGGTTGAAGGTCTGCAAGCTCACTGGGAGCTGTTGGTGCAAGTCAGCACTGACAGGCTTAAGGAACT